AAATAGTCAATCTTTTTTACGCTCCATTCCCCCCCCGCCCCCCTTCTGGCTCACAGCAACCTAAAATGCTACTTTTCTGGGAAAGACTGATATTCTGACTTCAGTTTTGTAATTTAATGATGGAGAGTTTCCTTAGTAAACCAAATTTAGAGTACTAGAATGCTTATCTTATATCCAGACCTTGAACATAAAAGGCATTTTATACCAGCAATTGTTCATTTAATGAGCAATTGCAGAGTGCAGGATGGTTAAGGGATTGAGCTATATGCACCATTATTGCAAGAAGTATTCCGAAATACCAGAAATAGGACGTAAGCTCTGATCAGGGGGACTGTGAGCACAATTACCTTCTTTTCAAATCCTTCTGTGACACTGCGGGAGGAAAAAGGACTTTGAAACTTGAAAGGAAAGAGCTTGCTTTCAACCTCAAAAGCTAGGAGGAAAGGGCTCTGAAATTTGCTCAGTATTCCCAATTCACCATTAGCCTGTTTCTTCCTTTAGCCTCAAGGCATTCTCCGCTTTTTGAAAAGATGTTAAGAAATTCAGTCACAATAGAGAGCCTAGTTTTGAACATGTTTCACTCGGTCCATTGAGGTCTGGTCTTCAGCCTTTGTGTGGGGTGAATTGAGCTGAGCAGCAAGCTGGTTGGGGAGAGGTGAATGAGCAGTCTCTGTGCAGTCACAAATTCTGGCAAAGAAAAGATTACCCTTGCCTTTATTTTACAATATGCATTCCTGTGCAACCCTGCTAGTGGCAATATGCGGAGCCGAGCTTGTGCTTAGGTCAATATGGAGCACTTGGTTTATAGCAACTCTTGTTAAGTTTGTCTTGTAATTGAAGCTGCTGTTGACCTTGCCTGGAGACCATTTGTAAAACCGTTTATTTAGCATAAACTGAAATAATAAACCCTCCTTCTCTTAGGCCGATTGTGATAGGGTGACATTAGTTTGATTTAATGATTAGCCGCCTGACCCCTCAGCTAGAGAGAGCCGCTTGAATAGGGAGAGTTCACTAGGAAGCACACAGGAAGAATACTAATGAGCTTGTTAAATTTAGCATGGCACCAACCACTTTTAATTCCTCTAATGGGAGAAGCGCTGCCTCTGAGAGAGAAGGAGGGAGGGAGACGGGGAGAGGGAGGAAAAGGGAGAGAGACGAAAAGAGAGGGAGGAATGCCCACGTCCCGGTAGCCAGAGAGTTTTGGTCAAGCGCAGAGCTTGGAGGGAGCGTCAGCCAGGGTCTCTTGGACTGAGCTGTAAGTACCTTGTCTCTTTTCTTACCCGGCCGAAGTGCGTCGGCGGATCTCTCCTCAGGCAGTAATGCTCTCCCCAAGTTGCATGCGGAAATGCGGCGATGAAACTTCATACGTAGACAGATTTGGCTGCGTTGGTGTTGTCTTGTTTTAAGCAGGGCTCTCTGAAGTGCGTTGAAGCTGATTTTTAACGTGGTGTATCAATAGATTTCAGCTTTTTTTAAGTTGCTGACTTTAGGAGGTTGGAAGTAAAAAGCTTCTACTTTGTCTTGGTCTACAACAAAAAAAAAAGAGCGAAAAATGTTCAACAGGGAAAGAAAGTTTAATGGGTTTTTGCATTAGGTTTTGGTTTGTCCTGATTCTTGATTTTCCGGGTAAATTAGCTGAGCAGTTAAAAGTGCATTTATTCAGGCATGCTGTCCAGTGTGAGTTTTTTGAAAAAGCTTGTTGATTAAACAAGGTGCTCTGTGGTGCTCAGGACTTCTCATAAAAACTGCTTCTGATCAGAGTAACGGGACTAAATCAGGTATTTCCCAGTGAATGGGAGAATCTTGGGTTAATGTGATCGTTCCAGGCTGGACACTTGTAGCACGTGTCTCTGGCTGCTGGCTTGTTAAGACAGAGTAGGGTGTACGTGAAGAAAGAGAAGCTTATGCAGATTGATTTTGGGGCCTGATTACCTTTTAATTTTTTTTTTCTTCTCTTAAACCACTCTCTTACGCCCACAAAAGGTGGGATGAGCTATGCTGGAGTCGGTGGGGTCCCACCAGCGGGAAGCAGATGCAGATGAGGGAGGATCAGCTGCTTTAACTTTGGCATTTGTGTGTCTGCAAGGTTTTAGTAAATCGGATGTTTCTTCTGACCTTAAAGCCGGCCCATTCTAAAACGTGAGCAGAGCGGCAACAGTTGTCGTGAATTTGGCTGCAGACCCCTTTGGCAGATGCCGCTGGAGAAGCGGGCTGTTTGCTTACATTTTTGCTACAGTCCCACTTGTTGCCATGGGGGACAGTGCGTTTCTGTCAATAATTTGGCGTGGCGCGGCTTGCCCGCGCTGACTCTTCGAACTTTATTGGACGATTCGGCCGAAACAGAAGGAGACCAGACAGCTTTCGGCTCTTGGCG